TCAATCACACTAATTCAGATAGATGTGCTATTACGACCCCTACGTGTATCTGTTAATTTCAATGTGCTTGCGGATTACATCATCCTGAGAAAATTAGACGAAATGTTAACATCTCGCGACGTAAGTCTTCTTTCGATCTTGACACGTATAGTTAGTTCTATCAAGTGGTCATTAGAGCCGATCGTGATAATGTGCCATCTTCTAACTGCTCTGGTGTTTTAGCTGTGTTTCAGAATATCAAGTCTTCGTGACAATGGTTTTCGCCCTGTGTGTTGTTCATCAGAGTAAGGTGTACAATGAATGAAAAAGATTTTAAGGGCTTCCCACATTCTACAAAAACCCGTGTTCCCGTGCATTTCTATCTCCCACTACGGTAATGCAAATGGACTGAATGTGAGAACGCTATCGGTTGTGCGATATCTGGCCTCATCAAATGCGGGTTTCTAACCTGTGGGACCGCAATACGATCATCTGGTTGCACAGATCCTGCCCATTCCAATAAATTATGGTCTTCGTATGCTTAGTTTGAATCACTAGGGATAAAGTTGTTAGTTCGTTAGACTTCGTGTTTACATTCCTGTTCCTTCATAAAAGTTTCTCACGTCGACCCAGACATTCTCCGCTGTCTGCTTGGTAGTCACTTAATCAATTTTAGCATTTAAACTGAATATCATACCACTTTTGGTGCTGTGATCGGATAGATGAATTCGATTTTTTTTCTTATCAGTTTATTGTCTATTGTCCCCATTGCCTAACTGCTGCCTATCTCTACTCCACTGGTTTCTCTTTCTTCCTCAGCCCCTTATTCTTTCCTGTTGCCATTTTATGCCATTTATAGTCTATTTCTTACATCTGATTCACTACGGTCCCCAGAACTGTCGTCGGTGTTGTTTGCTTTCTATGTTTTTTCTCTCTTTTTGCTGTTCCATTTTGGCAAGAAGGAGATTTTCTTTTTGAGGAATGCGTTTGTATGACTAATCAAGAGGAAAGAGATTTTCAATCCTTATCTGTTCGCGTTGATTTTCGGTAGCAGGTGTCTTCTTGTGCTGTTTGGCTTATTTTCGATACCAATGTAATTGCTTACATAATCTCGTTGTGTTCTGACTCNATGTGGTTAGGCACACACACCAAACAGCTAAGTAATTTCCATCACATGACAGCTGAATGCCCATTCATCGATCGATCGCTTCGATCAGCCACCCAATGAATCAGTCTTTCATTCGCCTAACCTAATCATTGGTTTCGTAGAATTGGCAATTGAACTGATCGTTTCTGTTTTTTTTTTACACAGATTAACGGTGCGTGTGTGTTGTGTATCACCGTGGCATTTCCTGTGACCCGGTTTTATTCATCCATCACCTCTTCGTTGAACCAGTGACGTGTTCGCGTGCTCCATACCCCCCCCACTCACCACCACCACACACAATATCGGTGATAGGTTTCTTGATTCCTTGCGGTCCCATGACCTTGTTGTCACTTACAGTTCACAGTCCACTCCTTCGAATAATTGACTTCATACTTCTTTGAGCGTAAATCCCAATTGGGGTGGGCTGTGTGTGTGTGTGCCGATTTGAGTTACCCATGAGTATTTCATCATTCATGGCTGTTGCCTGTGTGTAGCGTTCGTTTCATTCCCATTCACTAGCAGTTTATTACATTTTGTGTCTATTTTAGTTGGCAGTAAAGATCTCTACCCGTTCTATCTGTTGATGTGTTTCTCTCGCTTGCCTTTAGCCCCTTTCACAGTCTCCCTGTCCGTCTTCCATTGGGGATAATTCGGAATCGGCACCAGGCACTGTTCGTCTACGTCGTACACGGGTACGTTTGAAAGCAACTGTCTGTTTACGAACTTGCATTCGAAAGTTTATTCGTTTTGATTGTTCCACTTACGTTGTGTTGGTTTCTTTTATCAAATTCTAGATCTGTGTTAATTCATAAAAATCATAATTTTCATCTATCTCTACCGTCGTTCCGGGGCCAGGAGATCATCATCATCCTGTGTCTCATTCAAGTCGTGGTCAGCTCACTTTATCCGCTGTACATGACCTCCGTGCTTTTACTGTCATCTTGGTAGTCTGTTTAGCCAATTGCGTTCTAATGATTTCTCTCTTTTCGTGAATCGCTGCTATTTTCTGACGGTAAATTAATGCTAACTTTGACCTCATCTACAACCTCACGTGTTGATGGTCGCACACACACGTACAAAAACATTGTGAACGGCTCGGTTACCAAGCGAGAATCGAATGTCTGAATGCAGCTGTTTGTGTCCATCCCGTGCATGCCCATTATCTATACAAACCATATCCAGTTCGCTTATCTTCGCATCGACAAACCAGCCACGATGGTTCAGCATCACATTCTGTCCACGTTGAGATTGGGTTGGGTGTTTGGCAGGTCAATTTGTCAGGACAATTGAAGCGCGTTTGGGTGTAGGCCTACTGATAGCGTGCCCTAATGTGGTTTGCAATAGCCTAATTTGTGAGGTCTATGTACACAGAGAGGAGAAATGCCAGTCCAAAACCTCGGGAGGTTTGAATTAGGGCGGAACGCAAGGAGATCCGTAATGCATGCCTATATGTGATTGCGTGGTATGGATTGTTCGAATATTCCCATTCTGGTTGCGAAATAGGAGAGCACCAATATAGTGCACCCGTGCGAATCCAACTGGTAAATGAGTAACACCCTAGGTATTAGGTTTGACAAAACCTCACTACTTTAACCTGTGCCTCCGATCGCATACACCACAACAACGATGTAGCTCCTTGTGACTGAGTTACCCCGTTCTACTGTTCATCACGCAATGGTGTGCGACAAAAATGTTACACTGGTGCTTCGTATAGGAATTTGAATTATTTGTTTCTGTCTATGCATGCTGTTTGTTGATAGAAGTCTTCGATTTTTGCTAACCATTTCGGTGACAAGTGTTGTGTACTATGAATCTATACTGCGTTCTGATACTGGTTTATCGTGGTCCTTTTGACAGACACGTAGTCAAACAGGCAACTCGGACGACCAAGAGCATTGGCATCGCTCGTCACTCATCATGCTTGCTGTGGCACATGCTAGTCCACGAGGTCGCCTTGCCACTTCGGCTGCCAGCCCGGATTCCAGTGTAGTTTTTCATCACGGCGATGGTGAGGATGCGACATCGGACTACATTCCAGGTTAGTGCTCTGCTCACGAGTCGGTCACCGCTAAAATACGGTGATTATTCGCACAATAACTTGGAACTTTTGCTATCAAATAATGGGATATCTGACTGAATAAACATCCTGAAAGAAGTAGGAACGCGCTTCTGTTAGTATGTCCCTTCCATGACGATTTGCAAATCTAATGGTCACTTGTCCAGTTGTCGCAAACTGCGAATATCGCTTTGTTACATCCAATTTGGACCCGATGATCAGTTGCTGTTTGGCCACATTTAAATACAAAATGACAAACAGTCCACTTTTCTTACTCATGCACAATACGAATTGGTCACGGTACTGCGTTATCTCCGTGGCCAAACTATCTCTTGTGACCTTAGACCTTGTTCGATTCGTTATGTTCTTTCGACCGGGTTTGGATGCAAAAATATATCGTCAGTTTCGTTCTGTTGCATTCACAGAGTCAGCGGTTATGATGTTTGGCCTAAGGTTTTAGGCGGTAGAAGTGCTATTACTCAGACGCTTAATGCGCTGTTACTCCATAAGGTGAGAGTGACCAGCAAGTGCCCCAATGGCTGCGTATGGCGACAAAAATTGTTGGATAGAGTTGAACGTAAGTGCAAAAGATATATGTGTTATTCGTTTGGATGCCAGCCGAAATGAAGTTGATCTCTTGTTGCATGCACGTGGATTCCTTACTCCCTTTCGTGTTATTCGATATTACTTCCTTGTGCTTTGTATGCTACACTTTTCCTCCTTTGCCACTTGATATCACAGCGACCCGACTCTGACACTCAAATTCCGGTTTGATATTCCTTTTTGTCTCTGTCCACGTTACACACTACTTGTCTTCTGCTGCAAGATAAATAAGTTTCATGAATATTTGGTGTTGGCTCACGCATGTCGCTTCACATTGTGATCCATGGGTTGCTGCCATACATTTATCGGAGAGGGCTACTCAGATAAAGATCAATCACCTTNCTAACAAATTTACACTCATTCACCATTTGCCACCAAATGACCTTCGACTCCCTATCGGTGCCCTAGTATACAGCGCTATTTACGGTCTTGGAAATGTAAACTGAACACTGTCATACAACTGATGATCAAATTCTGACAATTTCGTTTCGTGTGGTTAGTGGTTAGTTGTTTGTTCTGACAACATGGCTCAAAGGTGTCCTGAGTGATAAGTGTTGCTGTTAAGGTGGCACGTGTAATACCCTTTTTCCATTTTCCTACCCAATCCAAAATCCAATGTGGGACTTACCGGGAAATGGTCATTCCGCTTTTAACATGATATTTGTCAATTAAAGTCGGCATGAAAGTCGTCAGCGGCCCGCAACCTATTCTATGTTTGAACTTTGATTTCGGGCTATAAACACCACGTAGTCATCATAAAGTTTCACGCTGCACAGATGCGTTGTATTCTGTTGTGCTTAGTTGTCTAATTTTCGGAATGCTTTCACTCACTCCAAAATCCATCAACCATCACTTTTAAATGAGGGTTTTGATGGGGGGAATACCCTGGGATGTCATTACGAAGAGACTGCACCATGACGTGGTGTGATGGCTTGAGCATCTCTGTGACCCCATGAGCCACACAGGATCGCTTTTATCAGGCCAGTAGGTCTTATCATGCCTGTAATGTCAGAGGGTAGAGTTCAGACAACGTTCAGTCTCCTGGTCCTCCAGGTTGGGAGTTCGGCTTGAGTTGACGTCTCAGGCGGTAAAACGGTGAAAGAGTAAACGATCAAAATAAATGGGCTTCCAATTAGCTTTATCCGCTGTCTTAAAGTCAGGTTCTTATCAGAACTAAAGGCTTTGGACGACAACCTGAATCGTTGGACATCCTATAAGTGCCTGCCCATCAAACTCCAATGCATGCACAAACCAAACAACGCCGTACGGCATCGATCATCGCGCAGGATAATCAGGACCGCGTGGCCCGTTGCATCGAGCAGGGTGGGTAGTGATGAGTGGTCTACTGCTCAGACATCCCAGCGTTCGTCTAACTCATCGACTTTTATACCCAACCCTGTCTTTTTGCCCTTTCTCCCAACCGGCAGCACTTCCTCCGACAACTTGTTTGTCATTCGCGAAAGCTCGTAGGAAAATAGCGCTTTCATTAGTGTATCATCGAATAAATTGCGGATTCTGAGGCCTTGTAATCATTGAACCTGGGGTCCTTCAATCTGAGGATTGATGCAGGTAGGTCAACAAGCGTGTCTGGTGCGTACAATGGACTATTTGGAAATAGATGTTTGCTGCGTATCGGACGCGAGTCCGGGATCCTTCTTTTATAAGTTACTTGAGTGCACCGCATTTGTCTTCGGTGTACTTCCTCCGCGCGTCAGGTGACGGCAATACCCGTTCACTAGGCCAGCGTGGTGTAGGTATTGTACCCAATGATCGATTAAATCCTCGTCAACCGTTGCTTACGTGCGATGCGTCTCCTAGCGTCTATCAGCGTCCGAAAGGGAAACAACACCCAAAATATGTTTGTTCATCAACTGCAGTTGTACTGCACGGGTTTGAAAACTGAGCGCTTTGGAAGCTTGCCAGGTGGTCGTTGTGCTCTGTTATGCCAGCGAACAGATAACGGTGATGGACGTCATCAGTTTTGCCCACACCTCTATCTGTTTTTGTACAATACTAACTTCCGACAGCTTTCGTCAGACAGCAAGGTGGGGACCTGATTCAGCTAGGACGAAGCTGTAGGTCTTATTGGACCCACTGCGTTGAGAATCACGCATTAAGTTTGATGCAGTTCACTCCGACTAACTGGTCGCGGAAAAAACCACCAAACTCGGTTGGAATACCATCGCTTATCTGACCCAGTCATTCGTGCTATCTGTAAATCAGAACTAGGGCGAGCTAAATGTGCTGCATCATGGTAAGGTAGATAAACAATGGGATCAGGTTGGACTAGCAATGCACTGCGCAGCAAGGAATGCTTGTGGATTTGAACCGGCAGCCCGTTCAAGGCATTGCATATATGATGAGTCAGTAGCACTAATAGAGAAAAACCGACCGGGGTCAAAATAGCGGTAGACGTCGTCTACCATGTCAGCTCAAGAAGAATCTTTAAGACCTTGGGAACAGATGGTCAACAGTAGCTAGTGAAATGGAAATAGAAGCTGCACCAGATGATAGCCGGTCTTCCAACACGAGAGGTTGGCAATCCGCACTTAGTGAAACTCGTTGAGACCAAATTAGATAAGCTATCCACAATAGGGATCAGCGACTTGACTGCTGACTGTGCACTTCAACGAACGGTTCTTCTGGCCAGGCGCTAACCAAGCTATCTCGTCTGTGATAGTTGAGTCTCCGTGGGCAGTGTCCTTTGAACCTCCTACTGAAGCAGAAGTACCATTTTGTATCCAAACCCTGAAGAAAGGCAAAGCTGCAGAACCGGACGGGCTTCCTCCCACTTTTTTGGTGGTAGGCAGCTTTACCGTCGTCTTGTTCAATACCACGACTAACCTAGCGGGGCCTTATATGGTTCGCCACTCCAAGTCCGAGGGCTCAGGTTACCGATTTCCATCACTGAACAGCAGATCCTCGTGACTATGGTTTTCTCCCCGTCTACTGTTCATCAGACTTAGGTGTGTAATGAAAATAAATAAAATAAGAAAGATGGAGAAGTTCTTTTGCTCTATTTGGCCTTCGCTTTGCACCTTTAAGGTGAAAAGTGATGCTGAGTCCCGTTTCGAAACTAGACGGTCAAGAGTTAACTGAAGTTGGCTGCTCCTCATAATTGGGTAGCTGCGTTACCTACGACGGTGGCGCATCAATGGAGATGACCGCCCACATTTGCAAGGCTCGAGCAGCGTACGTAGGACTAAAACACCTGTGGAGACGACGTGACGTTTCACTGAAGTTGAAACGTCGCGTATACTGCGCCACTGTGCTATCCGTTTTATTTTACGGTCGTGAGAGTTTGGATTCGCGAGTAGAAGGCACCCGTTGCCTGGTGGTTTTCGTTAATCGATGCTTACGTAATCTATCCCAGGTGGGATAGTAACCTAGAAGTAAGTTATCGGGTGTTCAAAAATGCATCGAACACGAACTTGCTACCACATCGAATTCAAGTGAATAGGCTTCGTTGGTTGTGACTCGTTTTGCTTGTACAGTCAATCTCCTGCTATGTTGCACTCCTGAGAAGTCGCATTTTCCAATATCTTCCCACTTTTTCGAAAATCCAAACCAATCGTATGCCTGATAACGTAGTTTCTGACTATGCGATGTCGCTTCCCCCCAATATGTCGCAGTTCCTGATACGTACTCACTTGGCCGTTGACCGATGTTCGGGACGACCATTAACCATCCACCCTGAAATGTCGCACTCAACCAATGGCGTTGCATCTAGTGTGACGCGTCCATGGTACTGTTCACTGATTGGATAATCCTAGTGAGCAAGTCACACCGATGCAAGCGATCGGAGACAGTGTCATTTAACGTCAAAATGTGCAAGCGCCTATCGATCAGAGAGAAGCAGAATGTGTTGGAAATATTGAAACAGCCAGGTGCAACTCAGAGATCCGTAGCCAAGTCACTTGGAATTTCCCATCGAACGACTATCGGGGAATTTTCGAACGCTGGCGCATCTGAGGGAAGGTGCCACCTGAAAACCAACGAACAGTTCAAGGCAGTGAATGACGCAACTTTGGCTTGGTTTACCGCTATGAGGGAAAAGCACGGAGAGTTCCCTATGGTGGAGAGCATCGTACGTATGAAAACAATCTAGATAGCACACAAATTGCATCATAATGACTTCAAGCCTTCCAAAGGTTGGTTTCGCTCTTGGTCAGACAGATATGGTATTCAATCGTACAAAGTAAGAAACAAGCAACTCATATACATTAATTTATAGGTCTGTGGGGAAAGTCTAGCGGTACCTTGTGATGCAGTGGATGAGTTTCGAGCGGGGTTATCGCAGTTGATACAAGGATATGCTGACTGTGATATTTTCAATG